GGCAACTATGCTAGAATTTATCATGACATGCAAGAAGCAATAGGGTACGCGGGATCGCTAGAAAGTAACGGTATATCAATGTTTCGGTATGCATATGCAGGATATTGCTTCTTTGTATTTAACCTCACAAATAGTCAGGAAGATAATGGACCAGAAATGTTTGATTTAATAAAGAACGGTACAACAAGTATAAGGATGACCTTCAACGAACCAGTTCCAAGTGGTGGGATTGTACTTGTAGCAATGGGAGAAATCGATTCGCTGCTAATGTTAGATAGGAACAGAACTATTTCCACAGATATTTCAGTATAAATACCCACAATTTTCCTCATTTTTAATCTTTTACTTCATTTTAAAAATGTGTCACATAAATATAAGTAATAAATTTAATTTTGTTTGTATCATTTTGTTTTTCTTTCCGTATAAATTCACACAGCAATATTATATGTCTAACGAGGATGAAAATCCAGAGTATAGAGAAAAATTAAGAGAACGTATAGGCTATTACGCTAATACAATTCCCCCTAGCAAAATTATTAATTCTTCAACAAAATTCCCAATTATTCCTGAAAGAGTACAAAATAGTATTGGGCTAGCATCTAAATTTAACTCTGAAAAAAATATTACAATTTTGGATTTCTGGTCAATGGAACACGTGGAGAATGTGCAATTTCCCTCACCTTGCAAGGAATTCCCTTCATCAGAAGCATCATTTGCTCAAACTATTTACTGTTATGCATTAATTGTACTCTGGCTTCTATTGCTAGCAACAGCCTTAACCTATCAACTTAGAAAATTTATAAAAATTAAAAACAACAACAACATTGACATTGAACTTGGAGAAATTCGAAGAAAAGATTCACACTTCCAGCTCCTTGACGGAAATGGACACATTACAAATCGAGAAAATTCTATTCCACAACAGAATTACTAGAAGATATTTTATTGGTTGCTTTGCCTCAGATAAAATTCCACAGGAAGTCCGAAAATACCCTTGTTCAATGGTCGTCAACCTCGAGAAGTCTTCTCAAAATGGATCACATTGGATTGCATTTTTCATAGAAAACCAAGAGAAAATATTAATATTTGACTCATTATTACTCCACGAACCTCCCATTTTAATAAAAAATTTTATATCCAAATTTCCAAATCGTGTAATAAATAATGTACCCCTTCAAAACCCTCTTTATTCCACATGTGGCCAGCATTGTATCACTTTTATTTATTTTATTTCCTCTGGATTTTCTTATAAAAAATTTCTATCCCTATTATCAAATCATTCAAATCCAGACGAATTTGTTTTTTCTTTTATTATTAAAATGATAAAAAATAAATAAAATTTGAAATTTTAAAAATATATTATTAATTAATTAAAATTTTATCATTCTTTTAAACATTAGAGTAATAATTACAGTTCCATGATCAAATTTTACAAGACTTCCGTTCATCCATCTCAGTTCAATTTCGATCTCGTTAATCTCTCTGGGTAACACTTGTATGAACATTGGCTGATCATACACTCTTTCTACAACACCGCCAGACCTATTCTCAACAGCCACAATTCTAAGTAATGAACTGACCGAATTTCCCATAATTACCGTGTTTGTTAACCCTTTTGAATAAACAGCAAAGCTAGTAAATCCTCCTTTGAGATCAATTCCATATTTTCCAATTTGACCGTTTAACAAAGGCCCCATGGGGAAGCCGAGAACATAGCATAATTGTGAAGATATTGTTATATTTCTAATCTCAGGATCATTGAAAATTACCCTAAAGCGATCAATGCTGTCCAAATATTCAAATTCAATGTCAGAATGCAAATCTTTTGCCTGAGATTCTTTTTCTTCAATCAAAGTAACCGTTTTCTCATTTATCATATCATCATCATTTCTTTGCTTATCCTCTTTCTCATCAAATATCTCTTCTGTTGGTATAATTTCTTCCGAAGAATCTAAATCTAAAACTGGCCTTTCTCTACTTTTCTCATCCCAACCTTCTTCCTCTTTTTCGAAACTTTCCTCATCAGGTACTGTATCTTCCTCTTCATCTATTGGTTGCTCAAGGGGTATAGGTTGCCCATATTTATCTATTCTTCTTGCATGCATTAATTGTTCCTTGCTTTCTTTCAACTCTTTATCTTTTCGTTCATTTTCCTCTGACTCTCTGGCCTTGTCCTGCTCATATTCATGCCTATCTTTAACAACTTCAACCATTTCATCTGTAATTACAGGAGCAGGAATTGGCACTGGTTTGCCTTGATCATCTACCTTTAGAGCATCTTCCAAATATTCTGGATGAGTTTTCTCTTCAATTTTTTGCATTTCCTTAATTTCATTCTTAGTTGGCGGAATTGGCAGCTCAAAATTTTTCCATTTCTTGTAGGCCGCATGATGTATCGCTGTAAATCTATTTCTTCTGTAGGAAGCCAATTTACTCAAATTGTCAATCTCCTTCCCTAATTTATTCTTTTCTTCCTCATCCTGTTCTTGTGAATGCAAATCTCTTTTTTCTCGAATTTCCCTGTGTAATTCCTGTAGATCACCTAAATTTTTCTTGAGAGCAGCCCAATGATCTACAGGGTGGTCGTCAAAAAATTTTTGGACAAATTCTGAGTGTATATTTGAATTTTGTTGATGAAATTCATCCTTACTAATTTTAAACTCTCTTTCAATTATTGCAGATTCCAATGCTTCCAAGTTTTTTCGCATACGCTTTATTGAATTAATAAATCTTTGAATTTCTTCTCCAGAACGAACATTTTTACCACCCTCTTCCCTGCTTTCATTAACTTTATCTTCTAGCTCAATATATCTTACTATTATATTTATTTCCATCTTTATTACTTGCTCGTGATAATCATCTGGGTGCTTTTCCAGAAACTCATTTGCTATAAGTCGATCATTAAGCCTATCTCTCTTATTAGCTTCCTCTGTTAAAAGACGAATTTCCTTTTTTTTACCTTCTGAAAGGGAATGTAAGTGATCAAGTTCTTGCTGAAACTCTTCCTTCTGTATATCATCCTCCTCATTAAGAACTTGTTTTGTTTTTTCTTCTACCTTAACTTTATGTTGTTCTAATTCTTGTTCATAATCACGTATGGCTTCCCAATAATTGTGAGGATACTGATTAAAAAATTCTTTTATCCATAATGGGACAGTATCCAATTCACTTGCCTCCCTTCTTCGTCTTTTCTTAGTTTGGTCCACAACTAAATTAATTTTTGGGTCAATAATAATTTCATCATTAAAAGCATCTATTGATAAATCACGTCTTTTTCTAGATTTTTCTTTATTTGATAATACAAGTTTTAAAAAGAAGCTGAGTCCGTTGGGCGTTAATTGTGTTGTTTTGGGAATTCCAATTTTACGTGGTTTCTTGTTTTTGTAATTAATTTCGATCCATTGTTTAATGTCTGTGCCAATGGTTGCAGCCCATGACTGGGGGTATTGGATGCTGTAGAGCCCACATAACCAGTTTCCACCTTGAAATTCTATTGGCTTAGGGAGATGTACTCGATACTTATTGGGTTTATTATCTGGATAATCACTAACATTGCTAGGAAGAACAACAAAGAATGTATTAGCCATTATTTATTTAACGATAAAAAATAATAAATTAAACAATAAAAGTGAAGAATGATTACAAATATTTATGGGGAATGAAAAATTGGCTTTTATACAAATTGATTTTCATTTATCCACTGAGGTTGGGGATAATCAAAAAATTTAACATAAAATTCTTTTCCTCCATCTCTTTTCTTTCTGCTCTTGATAATCTTCTCAATTCTGTAGCTGGTATTCTCATCCTTCTTCACTCTGATTAATTCCTCAGGGTAGAAGTATCCTTTAAATAATTCTCCATTATCGTCTCGAACGCGATACCTGTTGGGATTAGCCTTCTTTTTAACAAGATCAATCTGAAGAATTTCATCGCTATAATTTGGGAGATATCCCTTTGAAAATATATTTTTATTTTTACTCATACGCACATGATCATTTTCTTTAAAACGTGGTTTTTTTCTAGGCTTATTTTTGCTGATAGGGCCAAATACCATTTCTCTGATTTCCTTTGCATTGTTAAAGCTCACATCTACCGGTCTTAAGCCTCCTAAAACCCTACACTTTGAATGGTTTATTGCTTGAACTATTTTCGGTAAAGCTTCTGTCCATTTTAATGTATGCTTCTCGCTCATAAATCTGTATAATCTCTGTTTAATGTTCCGTATACATCGTTCAGCTAGGGACGCTTTAACTTCAGAGAAAGTTGCCGTGTATTTTTCAATATCTTTTTTCCTGAAAAAATTCATAATTTCTTTGCTGGAAAATTCAGTTCCTTTATCACTAAAAATACGGTGGGGGTGCATTTCCATTCTTGACAAAATTTTTTCAAATGCATCAATCATATCATTTGATTTTTTAGTGCGAACAGGTTCAGCAAAAACTCTTTTGCTTAACACATCTATTGCAACAAGCGCATATTTCTTTCCATTATTTTGCCGCGATAATTTTTGAAAATCTGCCAAGTCGCACTGAACATCTGTCATATACCCAGATGGATAAGTTATCGATCTTTTGAAGTGCACGCGCCTAGGGCGATGAATTGTATAAGTTCTATTTCCTTCCAAGTATTCCTCAACATCCTTCTTCTTAATACTCGCATCTTTTTTTCTAGCCTCTGTCCATAGTTGGTTTACACCAGCAAATCCTGCCGGATTCGCCGGATCATTGTAAAGTTTATCCAATATCATTTCCACTCTGCTGGGGGTCTCCATTTTGATTCAGGTATTTCTTTTGTTTCAACAATTTTTCTATTTTGCTTAGTATTAGTTCTTTTTGGAGTACAACTTTCTCGTGCCTTCTCTATCAGTGGCCAAATTTTATTATCACTTTTTAGCTTGTTTTCTAAGACTGATGTTCCTGGAGGTGTCAATTCACCCCATCTCAATTTCCCACTGATTCCTGTTCGAAGAATACACTCTATAGACTTCTCTGCATTACTTCCCTGTATTTCTTTTCCTCCCTTTTTATTTAAAATTTTTCCATCAGTATATTTATTCAGTATATATTTATTCAGTATTTTATCAGTATATTTATTTATATTTATCAAGATTCTCATGTTTCATGCTTTCAAAAATTTCTTTTGTTTTTACTTTTATTTTTGTCTTATTTGGCTCATCTTTCCCCTTAGTATCTGGAGATTCCTCCTCGGCATTGTGCATACTTAGATTATCCTCTTTTATATTTTTACCTTCATCTAACTGGGAAAATTTTGGTGTGGCAATATTTTGCTTAAAATCTTTTTGTGCATTTTCGGTAACTTGACGATTTTCATTGGTGTTTGTTTGGAGTAGTGGTAATAATTTTTTAATTTGCTCTAGGGCAGGATCTTCCATTTGTCTTACTGAAACATTCATTGGTCTCTCATTTTGCTCCTTCAACATGTGTAAATAACGTCTTAATTCCTGGTTATAATTTATATTTTTTAATTCTGAGTCACCACTTTGTCTTTTGATATTTTCCAAATTTTCTCTTGTAAAATCCAAATTGATATTTCCTGTTTCTGGTAAGGGTTGAGTAAGCAGTCCACGATATATATCTTCAGAAATCAATATAAATTTATTTGCCATTTTTATTAATTGCTTATTAAAGTTTTTGTTAATTCGATAATGATTGGTGTTAGAAGGGCAGGAAACAATCCTATTGGTAAACCGCTTCCTTTTTGTATTACTGTACGCCGGGCTCCTTTTTCCGTTTTTAGCCTACTCACACGACGAACAAAATCAGCAAATGGTAGAAGACGAGATTTTTGCCTTTTAGTTAGTTTAAATTGATCACGTACAATATTGAAACAAATTTCAGTGAGAGAGAGTAGTTGGTCGGTTGAAGCTTTTTTTAAAATGTGTCTTCGTTTAGCTAGTGACCGTGTTTTTGCGAGTTGTTTGAGAAACAGTAGGTTGTCCTTGACAAGTTGACTAATATTTGTTGGCATGATTTTAATTTGAGGAATTTTTGGGTAAAAATATAATGGCTGGTGAATTATAGGTGTCTTCTGATTCTTTGTCTCTAAATATATTTGTTCTTAGTCTAAGTGTTGGATCTGATGAGGGGTGTAAATCGATAAAAAGATAGGAATAATTACTAGTGTTTGTAGCTTGTCTATATGCGTCTAGAAAATAATTCAATCTTCCTGGGAATAGTTGAACTCCTAAATTGCGAACGGCCAATTCACTATTAGGTGCGCGAGTTAATACAATATACATAGAATTTTGACGTGCGACTTTGAGTTTTTTCTCAAAGAGATTCTGTGTGATGAAAATTATTCCAAAATTAAGATGATGAGATTTCTTTGTAAAAAGTTCCGATAAATATTTTTCGTCAATTGTATACATTAAATCGTCAAGAATGACTAGAGAAGGTTTTTCTTGTTTTTTAATAATATCTTCAGGCGGAACTCCGGCATAAACTGAAACTCCAGCTCGCTGTAGCTCGGGAACAAGCGAATTATATTCGCCATAGCAGTAAAGAATAGATTTTGGGATAGGGTCAATAAGTTGATCAGAATGGGAAATTAATTTTCGTACAAATGTACTTTTACCAGTTGAACTTGGCCCGCTAATAATACAACCAAATGGAAGCTTTAGTTTTAAATCTTTATTAGAAAATAAATTAAAATTCATGTTTAAATTAAATGTTGAAAATTAAAAATAAGAAATGATTAAGAGGTGATAATTTTATTATTTTTTACTTCTGATATATTTTCTTTATCATCCTTCTGTATATTTCCTTTTGTTTCCTCTTTATCTTCTTGCAACTGCTTCTGAGAGAACTTTGACAAAAATTCCTTGACAGTCATTTGTTCATTTCCGTTGATGAACTGTTTTTTATTCCAGATTTGTTCCTTGTGTAAAATATTGAAATTCTTCCCTTTTGACTTAACCCGAAAGACACACTGTTGAGGAATCTCGTAAATATGATCGAACATTACTACTTTTTCTGATTTTAGACGATTGCAATATAAAGTTACATCCTTCGGAGTAACAATAAAATCTATGTCCACATTTTCTCCCTTGCAACTTTTACATTTCCCTGTCATGTCAAACTCTACAAAACGTGTAGTTAAGAGCCGTGGTGATGAAATCGTCACACCAGAAGAAGACAACGTAAATAAAACTTCAGGGATAGCCTTTTCCAAGAGCTGACTATTATTTTCAATTACAGACATTTTCTATAAAATTTATAAATGAATTCAAACTTTTGGTGAAAATTTGATAATTGGAAATATTTTTGTATTTACTCTGAAAATGGGCGTGGCCTAAGGAAAAGTCGGATCCGATAAATTTTTCAAAAATTTCTTCTATGTTAATAAATAATATAACCTTTAAAAATTTTTATCTAAAATTAAATTAAATGTTTACAATTATGAAATAAAAATAAATAAGGTAAAAACAATTTTAATAAGAAATATTAATCTTTAATCACTTTTTCATGTTCTGGATATTCTTCTCATCCCAGTCAGCAACAAAATCCTTCAGACACATGTTTAATTTTGCACATGCTTCACAAATCTCAAAACAAATTCCAATATTTCCATTCTCCTTTTGAGAGAACTTATTCTTATTATTATAGAGTGCAATGGCACATTTTCTGCAAATTCTAATTTCAATCCTCGGTGTATCTTTCATACGCACGAGTTTCCACAGAATACGTGGATTTATACTGTTGATTTTCTCATTATTTACTTTTGAAGTAGTAGGCTTTGCTTTATTGATTTTTTCCTTTTCTTCCACTACTTCAATCATATCTTCCTCATCCTTTTCATTTTTTGGCTCATTAGCTAATTCAAGCTTTGGGATCTTTTCTTTTTTTGATCCACTCATTTTTATATTTTGATTTTTAAATATTTTTAAATTATGAATGAGGAAATGAATGATAGTTGGTAAATCTCTAGGCTTATATACTCCTCAAAGTCCCGCCCACTTTATAATTTTGTAGGAATTGCCAATATTCAAACCAAATTTTTTTAGTATAAAAAGCTGGGATTTTCATTTATCGTGTCAGTTTATTAAACCATTTGTTCATTAACTAAATCATTTGAATTAATCAATAAAATGAATTCTATTTTGGAGGATATTTCTAAAAAGTTAAACTGTCCACTTTATTTGGTGAGATTTAAACTAATGTATCAAGAAAATGCTGATTTAATCGCAAAATTTATAAATGAAAAAGGAAAGATAGAGACAACTTATTCAGATAGGACTGGATTGAGATATCCAATTCGATGTGATGGAATTACAACATCAGGAGCTCATTTAATCAAGGCCTTCGGCGATTTAAGTTATCCATTTAATATATCGGTTGCGGCATATTTCTTTGCGCATCACAAAATAAAACTCCAATATCCGTTTCATCAATGTGTTATAGTAAGAACTTATACAAAGGGTGGAATTTGCGAAAGATACTTCCCGCTTGAGCTTGTATGTTTTGCTCCTACATCACCCCCGTCAGAAATAAGTTGCTCAGAGTTCGGGGCTCGACGTACACATGCAACTTTGTCATCATCAACTCTTAGCCTTAATAGTATTCAAATTTCCGACGGAAGTTTACCTCCTACACCTACTAATGGGAAATCAAGGCGAGGAATAGTCTGGATTGAAATAGAAGGTAAACCCAACCAATGGGAAAAACGCAATGTTTTGATATTTTTTGATTAATTTATTCGAAAATTTTATTTTAATTACATATTTATTATTTTTTTATATTTTTTTAAAAAATTATAAATTTACATAAAAAATGATAAAATTAAAAAATAATTTTACAAATTTTTGAAAAAATCGATAATGTTTGAAATAGGCTGTTCATATAAAAATCGCCATCTTGAATACATTATGTAATCTGTTCTATTAGATTTTCCAAATTTGAATTTGTTGTCATAAAGGTCCCAACGAAGAATCCAACGTCCCATATTTTTTATTTCTGCTTGTCTGGCTAAATCTTTCTTTTTCGGATAATATATATCCTTTACAAACCATTTCAAATTTTTCCCGTCATCAGTTTTATTAAATGTTTTAACGCTAAGTCTATCACCTCGTTGAAACACATCTGAATTATTTACCTCTCTGATTGAAAATAATGGTTTTGGTGGTGGTGTCCTCCTCCATATTGGTATCAAAATATTCACGGTTTTATTAGAAAGTATTGGTGGCGGTGTCCTCCTCCATATTGGTATCAAATTATTCTCGGTTTTATTAGGAAGTGTTGGTGGCGGTGTCCTCCTCCATATTGGTATCAAATTATTCTCGGTTTTATTAGGAAGTATTGGTGGCGGCGTCTTCCTCCATATTGGTATCAAATTATTCTCAGTTTTATTAGGAAGTATTGGTGGCGGTGTCCTCCGCCATATTGGGACTGGTGTTCTACGAAATAATGTAGTCACATATTCTTCCCCCTTCCAGGGTCTATCGTCAACACTGTCTGCAAATAAGGACATAATAGTTATTAATATAATTTTAAACATTAACATTTTAGGTAATAATAGATTTTTATCATAAATCATAGCTAGTTCTAGGTGCTGGATGTCTCTACGAAATTTTATAATTTTATATATTATTTTCTGGTAAATTATTAATTAATTTTATTTTAATTAAAATATGTATTTTATATAAATGAATATTGTTTTTCAGGTGGATAAAATTAAAATTAAATTTAAAATATTTATTTTAAATAAAATAGGTATTTTATATAAATTAATATTGTTTTTCAGGTGGATAAAATTAAATTTAAAATATTTTTAAATAAAATAGGTTCTTACTATAAATGAATATTGGTTTTCAAGTGGATACGTAGTACCTGTTTAGATGAGGAGCTAACTTACAATTGAATAGGGTGTATTTCTCTTATGCACGTGTATACTATCACGTGAGTACCATATAGTGACCAGTTTAATGAAAATGTTTGTTATTTCTCTTAAGTTTTCATCAATATTATCTTTTAATCCTTAAGTTTACATCTATAGTATCTTTTGCTGCTTAACTTTGCATTTTTACCCCCTAAATCTGTATCTTCCATCCCTTATCATTACATCAATTGTTTCTTCTATTGCTTAACTTTACGTGAATCTTATCTTCTATCCTTAACTTCTCACACATTTTATATTCAAACTCTTAACTTTAAGGTAATCTTATCTTCTAATCCTTAACTTTACAACAATAATATCTTTTATTGCTTAATTTTGAATATTTACACCAAAAATCTACATCTTCCAACCCTTAACATTAAATTAATTGTATCTTCTATTGCTTATCTTTTCATAAATTTTATCTCTAATCGTTAAGTTTACATCAATAGAATCTTTTAGTGCTTAAATTTGCATTTTTAACAACATAATCTACAACTTTCATCTCGTATTATTACACCA